ACGTACGGACGTACGACGGACGCAACGGTATGGCATAAGCTCACCTTGGTCCTTCGGACCAGGTGAGCTAAAAATGGCCAGTGGGATTTTAGCATGTAGTATAAAAATATAGAAATATTAATTACTTAATCATGAATAAGATGAAAGACATTTAGCCTGTGGTTCTGTGTTCAGGGAGCCAGTAGGGGAAGAAATGGTTCTCCACTCGACGTTCATACTGCTGAAACACCGTGTGATTCCCATGGACTTAGTAGTGATACAGCTTCCCACAATGCAAGTCTTCTCCTTCCTGTCAGTTGCCTGGGGCATGATTGCTGACATTGATTATGAGAGTGAAAAGCTTCGGGCGTTTGGAGCAGCTCGCTTCACCATCTATGCACTGATCAGAATTCTCAGTAAGTCTTCCCTCTGGTGATTATTTCAGTTCATTGTTTTTGTATTGTAAGGAAATAATGTATGTTTCTGATATTGTCTATTCTGCTGATAGTCTGGATTGTGTGAAACTCAAGGTAGACTACCAGTTAATTTGATAGAGTATATTTGGTATGGTCATGCAATAATTACATATATATTTTTGTTCACTACCTCTTATGCTGTGGGTGAGGGAGGGAGGGGGGGGGGGGCACTTACTTACAGAGGAGGTGCAAGTTAGCCTTTGGCTTGCAGTTCTAGTTTATATGTAAACTTCATTGCTATGTGTATTACAATTTTATAACTTGAAAATGGCCACAGTAACTGACATGTATTGCATTGAAATACTTCAATATGCTTATCTTTCAAAGGACCTCGTAGCTACAAAGGAGAGTTGGCTTTTCTGCCAAAAGGACATTATACCCCCAAGACACAACAGACAATTGCCAAGAATACCATACGTCGGTTGGCCAGTCGTGAGGCGGCAGGGTCAGTATGTGAGAATGGTGTAATAGGGACCTATCGCACTATATCACAGGACAGTGAGCGACTGCGATCAGCATCTGTGCCTGTGATGCCAATGTCCAGCAGCAAACACCAGTATGCTCGGGACAATTTGGGTATGGTGTTTGATGAGACTGTGAAGGATGAGAATCTTTCTGATGTCAACGCACACTCCAGTGGCCACCTGGATGAGAATAAAGAGGTGAATGGGATTGGTGCGTCGAACATGAGCTATGATACAGAAATAGGTGGTGCCAATGGACCTGTCAATCACTTGAAATCAAATGACAGTCAGGATTCCTCACAAGCTTCAGGCAGCTCCCCATATAGTCCCAATGTGTCTTGTTCGCTCCTGCCTCCCTTGGACAAACCTGTCCCATCTAACTGGGTAAAAGTGAGCGGAGATTTTATTACAGTTCTGGCTACCTACCAGCCCTATCTGGGCCCTGACAACCTGTTTGCACCTGATGCCAGACTAAATGATGGCTGCATCCACCTACTGTTTATTCGCTCAGGCATCACAAAGAAGACTTTGTTGGACATCTTTCTTTCAATAGATGAAGGCAACCACATAAATTCTCCGTTTGTTGAATATGTGAAGGTGTCTGCATTTCGATTGACACCAGACGATTTGTCCGTTGGAAATCTGATGGTGGATGGGGAACATGTTGACATGGCACCAGTTCAGGGGCAAATATTTCCCCAAATGGGTCGCATCATGGGTATTCAGTAATGGCAGATGTACAGAAAACATATTTGATACTAGTACCAGGATATCAAAACACTTATAGTTCTGAAAAGGAATCCCCACATAACACAACATTTATCAAATGTTATAAGAATCAAGCTTTTGTGGAACCTGTATTAGAATCAAGCTTTTGTGGAACCTGTATTAGAATCAAGCTTTTGTGGAACCTGTATTTGAGTGTGACAATGGCTATAGAGTATATGAAAAATGGTTGTATATGTTTTTGACTATTTTTATATAAAGATTCTGCTTTAACTAGCATTTGTCTAAAACCATCTAAAACTTAAATGCCGCAAAACATGTGATTGATTCAAAGCATCTTGAGTATGAATTTATAAAGTGTAGTAGTTGGTAGATGTTTTGTATGTAATGTGTGCAATGTAGTTATGATTCAGAAACACGTCAGATTATCTCCCTTGGCAGCGTTTTGCATTTTTGGTTGTGCTTTGCTTACATTAAGCTTAATTCATAGTTTGCATGATTGTGTATGATCACAACAGAAAAGTGTTCCATGAATGATTCTGGACTGTGTCAGTTTATCTACACTTAATTTACCAGGTACTTACATATATCTGGTACCTGTAGCAGGATTACTAACATTTTCATTCCAAGAATATCGATGTTTGTGGATGGGAAGAGTACACTGTACATATATACATTAGCAGATATAATACAAAGATCATATTTGTATACTATTATACATGTACACAGATCACGTTTGTATACTATTATACAAGTACATGTAGTTTAGTTTACAGTTATACCTGCAAGCTCCCTTGCTATAAGTACTAGGCCTTCTTTATTCATCATATAGCTTACTTCTTGGTTAATTCAACTGATTAAAATGCTGTTACTCAACTGTAGCATCTATCTGTCAACCTTTTACTTAAAAGACTTCTTCTTAAGAACCAAATGGAATGGGGTCATAGAATGCTCATATATTTTCCTTGTACAGCTATACTGGAGTCAAATTTGTTAAAATCTTAACTTCTGTTAACACACTTACAGGTCTGGAGTCATCTTTGTCTTGTAGTGAAGTGGGGTGGAAGGCTATCAGATTTGTGAAAACAAATGTCCTGCAGCTTGTCTGTCATGGCAAAGGTCTATGAGGTTCAAATAATATATAATAATCCACAGTACAAATAACAGGGATGAAATGTGTTGCAATCTTCAAACGTCTTCTAATTAACCATAGTGCAAGACAGAAGTTATATGTAAATGTATTAATACAACTTCTCAATTACTCTTATGTCTTGAGTAATGATATTTGTTGCATAGTATGCTGGGCTGAAAGGTTATCAACAATTTAAGGTTGTTCAAATAAATGACCTTGACCTACCTTTAAGGGTAAATGAAATGAGAAGAACAGTTATCTTATTGACTACGTGGGGTGAAGGACTATCAAGTTTTGCTTTTTAAATAAGTGGCACACATTAAATTCACACATTGACCACATCACTGTGGTCAAATGTGTTAAAATCTTATAAATAGACCAATTCCTAACCAGGAGACAAGAATTTGCAATAATTGTGTTTGTACAACATGTTTGTATTTTAACGTACATGTAGATATTTTTTTTCATTTTTAGCTCACCTGGTCCAAAGGACCATGGTGAGCTTATGCCATACCGAAGCGTCCGTTGTCCGTCCGTCCGTCAACTTTTCTTTTAAAACGCTACTAGTCATGAACGAAATAGCAGATTTTGACCAAATTTGGTCAAAAGCTTCCCCTGGGGGAAGGGTAACAAATTTTGTATACATGGTTGCTCTGGCCCCCCTGGAGGCTGAGGGGCGGGGCCAAACAGAGGAAATATAACAAATTCTTTAAAATCCTTCTTCATCTGTAGGAATGAAAGGAATTGTTCCATATTTGGTCTGAAGCATTCTTGGGTGAAGGGGAACCAATTTTGGATAAACTGTAGCTCTGGCCCCCCTGGGGGCTGAGGGGCGGGGCCAAACAGAGGAAATATAACATATTATTCTTTAAAATTCTCCGTCTGAAGGAATGAAAGGATTTGGTCCATATTTGGTGTGGAGCATCCTTGGGTAAAGGAGAACCAATTTTGTATAAACGTTGGGTGCCCCCCCCCCCCTGGGACCTGAGGGGCGGGGCCAAATAGAGGTAAAACCTTTAAAATCCTTCTTTGACCATCGGGATTATGGGATTTTATCCTTATTTAGTCTGGAGCATCCTTGGGTCAAGGGGACTCAATTTTGTATGATTGGTGTGTATGACCCCCCTAGGTTGCATATAGGGGTGGGGCTCTGTTTGAAGTTTGTTCTCGCTATATTGCAATTACTGGATGGATCTTTCTGAAATTTCATATGTACTTACAGCACCTACTTCATACCAGTTATTTTAAACATATTTACCGGTAGGTGAGCGATACAGGCCCTCTGGGCCTCTTGTTTTTTACATATCCAAATATTTGAGTTGATTTTCATTGAACTCAACCAATGCAACTGGGGGACACTAAACTGAACCCCCAACTGATCTCACATCCCACTGTCTTATCAATCAGGAGGCTTTCAAGTAACATGTTTTATCTACAAGTCGTACAAGTTTATACAAAAACTGTTCAAGTGTGTGCAAATGTAGACAAATTTTACAAGTGTATACAAATTGTACAGGTATATATACAAACAGAAATTAATGGCATTTTTGGTAAATGCATTACTCAGTTAAATTACAATAATACCCTTCTGTTACAGAAATGTAATAAATATTCTTTAAATCAGCCTGGACTAAATACAAAACCACTGGTTTCTGGTACACTTTTGATGATTGATGATTCAAAGATTCTTGATTTTGTTTGTTTTAAATTAAGTAGTAAGTATTTTTGTACTGACCAAGAGGTGGAGATATCTGATGTTGTGGTTGTCAATAGTGCCCCTACCCACCAGTGTGTACCAGGTTAGTAGCACACACAATAGCTCAATTATTGTCTTTCATTTAAATGCTTTCACGATGACCTGATGTGTATATATGCTTCGTGTTTTTGTTTTTGATGTTATTGAACAATTAAGTTGTTTTGTGTTTGTCATTTTTATGAGTTTGTGAAAGGTCAGAGGTCAAGCCATCAGCAAACTAGATCTAGGCATGTAGTTTGTTAGGATTGAAAGTGACACCTGTACTAGATGTAGGCCTATAGTTTGTTAGGATTGTAAGTGACACCTGGACTAGATGTAGGCCTGTAGTTTGTGAGGATTGTAAGTGGCACCTGGACTAGATGTAGGCCTATAGTTTGTGAGGATAGTAAGTGACACCTGTACTAGATGTACGCCTGTAGTTTGTGAGGATTGTAAGAGACACCTGTACTAGATGTAGGCCTGTAGTTTGTGAGGCTTGTAAGTGACACCTGGACTAGATGCGGGCCTGTAGTTTGTGAGGATTGTAAGCGACACCTGGACTAGATGCAGGCCTGAAGTTTGTGAGGATTGTAAGTGACACCTTGACTAGATGCAGGCCTGTAGTTTGTGGGGGTTGTAAGTGACACCTGGACTAGATGCGGGCCTGTAGTTTGTGAGGATTGTAAGGGACACCTGTACTAGATGTAGGCCTGTAGTTTGTGAGGAGGGTAAGTGACACCTGGACTAGATGCAGGCCTGGAGTTTGGGAGGTTTGTAAGGGACACCTGGACTAGATGCAGGCATGTAGTTTGTGAGGATTGTAATTGACACCTGTACTAGATGTAGGCCTGTAGTTTGTGAGGCTTGTAAGTGACACCTGGACTAGATGCAGGCCTATAGTTTGTGAGGATTGTAAGGGACACCTGTACTAGATGTAGGCCTGTAGTTTGTGAGGAGGGTAAGTGACACCTGGACTAGATGCAGGCCTGGAGTTTGGGAGGTTTGTAAGGGACACCTGGACTAGATGCAGGCCTGGAGTTTGGGAGGTTTGTAAGGGACACCTGGACTAGATGCAGGCCTGAAGTTTGTGAGGATTGTAAGTGACACCAGGACTAGATCTAGGCCTATAGTTTGTGAGGATTGTAAGGGACACCTGTACTAGATGTAGGCCTGTAGTTTGTGAGGCTTGTAAGTGACACCTGGACTAGATGCAGACCTGTTGTTTGTGTGGATTGTAAGTGACACCTGTGCTAGATGCAGGCCTGTAGTTTGTGAAGATTGTAAGTGACACCTGGACTAGAAGCAGGCCTGTAGTTTGTGAGGATTGTAAGGGACATCTGAACTAGATGCAGGCCTGTAGTTTGTGAGTATTGTAAGTGACACCTGGACTAGATGCGGGCCTGTAGTTTGTGAGGATTGTAATTGACACCTGTACTAGATCTAGGCCTATAGTTTGTGAGGATTGTAAGTGACACCTTGACTAGATGCAGGCCTGTAGTTTGTGGGGGTTGTAAGTGACACCTGGACTAGATGGAGGCCTATAGTTTGTGAGGATTGTAAGTGACTCCTGGACTAGATGCAGGCCTGTAGTTTTTGAGGATTGTAAGTGCCACCTGGACTAGATCTAGGCCTTTAGTTTGTGAGGATTGTACGTGACACCTGGACTAGATCTAGGCCTTTAGTGTGTGAGGATTGTAAGTGACACCTGGAATAGATGCAGGCCTGTAGTTTGTGAGAATTGTAAGTGACACCTGGACTAGATTCAGGCCTGTAGTTTGTGAGGATTGTAAGCGACACCTGGACTAGATGCAGGCCTGTCGTTTGTGAGGATTGTAAGTGACACCTTGACTAGATGCAGGCCTGTAGTTTGTGAGAATTGTAAGTGACACCTGGACTAGATGCAGGCCCGTAGTTTGTGAGGATTGTAAGTGACGCCTGGACTAGATGCAGGCCTGTAGTTTGTGAAGATTGTAAGTGACACCTGGACTAGATGAAGGCCTGTAGTTTGTGAGGATTGTACGTGACACCTGGACTAGATCTAGGCCTATAGTTTGTGAGGATTGTAAGAGACACCTGGACTAGATGCAGGCCTGTCGTTTGTGAGGATTGTAAGTGACACCTTTACTAGATCTAGGCCTGTAGTTTGTTAGGATTGTAAGTGACCCCTGTACTAGATCTAGGCCTGTAGTTTGTGAGGATTGTGACACTACAGAGGTAGACGGCCAACTTTTTCTGTGTTAATGCTGCTACGTGACCTGATCCTTGTGAACTTGACCTTGCAAAGACCACTAGAATTGTTACACAAATCATGCTTGTTATTTAGTAGTTATTTTGGGCATTTCTGCTCAGTCGTTAACAAAAGTAGCTAATGTGCACATTTTGCAGGATATTTTGATTTTTCAATATTTTCTTTATTTACATGATATAGTCATATGTAGAAATATATTTTTAGATGCTTAATATATTGAGTTATTTTAGCTGTGTATCTGTAATAGAACGTTGCCACATCGAACTAATCATTGCTCATAAAAATGTCCATTCCGAGTGTCTGTCAACCCATTGACAGTCATCTTCAGGTTAAACCCAGTAAATCATGTTTTTCTGTAAAAGTGCTGTTTGTTAGGATAAGTGTGGTTAGTTCAGATGAGCTACAAATTACATATTTCTGTATAAAAAGAGATTTGGTTTTGTGTGGAGGCAGCTGAGTATAAATTTATGTAATTTACATTTTGTAATGTAAGACATTGCATTCTATGTGAATTAAAGGGGTGAAAATTGGAAATATAAAAGACAACCAGTTTGTAAAATCTTATGTTTGATTTGATTAAATACTCAGTGTAGAGTAATGGCAATATATTTAGGAGTCAACTGCAACAGGGCTGAGGAAATGTTTTTCAGAAGCAATGTAGATAACATATTTTTGGAGGTAATGCAATGATTTGAAATTACATTCCAAAGGAAACATGTCACAAAATAATTGATGCATATCAGTTTGTTCAATGTTATTTAAACAGGACTCATTGTTTCATTTATCTTGTAAATCCAGAAATATCTTCATAATCAGGGTTAATATCCTTGCATAATGGTGCAATTTATTCATTCATCTTTATTTATTTCATCAGTTACATTATAATTATCACTTGTAAAAATGTACGGTCAAGTGTAAAAAGATCGTTCTACACCTGTCCAGTACTGTAAACTCCTCCAGGGATATTGCATTACAGCAATAATTAGTCCCAAGTAGAAATATCAATTCAATGGGAGCATTCCAACACATTGTTTTTATTATTTATTATAGGGTATATACACATGTTTTTATTATTTATTATAGGGTATATACACATGTATTCAAAAGATAGCAACGTTTACTTTCTGGTGATATATAGGTGGATACTACACAGATCTATTTATACACAGAAAACTAAATTGAAGGTACTTTAAGTTCAAAATTACACATGTACGTACAACTTTACCTAAATTCATTGATGTTGATTAATTTCTGTAACAGCATAATGATGATGTTGATTCCAGTATGAATTGGATCTGTGTGATTGACCTTTGCCTCCGACAATGAAGTATATTATACAACAGGTGCCATGCTATTTGTGATGATGTATATATGTGTAAGATATACTGGAAGCCTATTTTTTATGATTCATGTTCTGTGCACTCTTGTTTGGAATTTATGAAAGTAACTTCTACTTCTACATTGTTGGAATTTAAGTGTGATTTTTCTTAATAGGAATTAACATAAATT